CGGTAGCTGGTGTTAGAGAATTTCTAAGTTCCCATCAGTCTTTAAGACTGTGTGATTCTAATGTTTTGTAAAGTGACTAAATAGTTACGTGCTTCTGTTAACTTGCTGTTCTTCTGAGTTAGATCATTGATTCAACAAAGACCTTATTCTTGATGAAATTTTTGTCAGGCTTGCCTAAGTCTGCTTCTCACCTAGACTTCAGCCTTGGGCTTCAGTGTCTGTCCTTCGTGGGACTGCACTCCCTAGATTTAGTAAGAATTTTGTTAAATACATTTAGCGACAGTGTTCTCCCTCAGTATTTGATCAAACTCATGCTCACCACCCACAGGTGGTGTCAGATCTTCCTGGCCTGCCTTCCACAGGAATCTTGGGAAGTTGGTTTAACCAGAATCCCCTCTGTCCCTGATGTTTCCCCTTAGTGAGTTTCTATCTACTGATCCCCACTCTGGTCCTTGACTCTAAATCTCCACTTGAGCTCGGTACTATACTGAGGGCTCTTACTCTTATTGCAGCAGCTCCTGAATACAATGTGATTTTTGCCTCTTTAACTATTATCCAGGTTTGATGGTCTTTAACAACTCTCAAAGTGGGGGCAATTTTGCCCCTGAGGAGCTATTTGACAATGAGATATGTTTGGCTGTCACAGCTAGAGAGACGTTACTGGCATCTAATGGGTAGAGACCAGGAATGCTGCTAAACATCCTACACTGAACGGGCAGTTCCCCCGACAAACAGACACACACACACAGACACACACACACACAGACACACACACACACAGACACATACACACACATACACACACATATACACACACACATATACACACACACACATACACACATACACACACACAGACACATACACACACATACACACACATATACACACACACACATACACACACACAACAAAGGATTATCTGGCCTAAAATATTAGTAGTGCCAAGGCTAAGAAGCCCTGACTTTGAACCCATAGCCTAAGCTTCTATAAAGCAGTCATCAGCCATTGTCAGTGTGGGCTCATGAAGTGAGCAATGTGTAAGTTTTAGGTTAAGGAGAGGGAACTGAAGTTTTACCCTTGAATGCCTCATATATATTTTAGTTTGAAAAACTTAAAAGAGATGTCTGTTGGCACAAAGGTAACATAAGGTCATTTAACACATAAACTCTCAATTCTCACCAGCCTAACACAACAGAAGTTTATTTCTCCTTCACACTCGAGTCCAATACCAGGTGTTTTTATTGGAGCACCTTCCATGTGCTCACTCAGGTTCCCAGGCCCCTCCAGTAAGGACTATGTGCCCTTTTTTGGTTACTCAGAGAATTCTGCATTCAATCCTGGGAGGAGACAGGGAACGATTAAATCATGTGGAAGTCTCCCTGCATGGGCCTGGAAGTGCTGAGTGTCACTAGGTCACTGGCAGTGTCTACTTGTAGGGACCATGAGAAATGGCCTCTTGGCCGGGCGTGGTGGCTCACGCCTGTAATCCCAGCACTTTGGGAGGCCGAGGTGGGCGGATCACAAGGTCAGGAGATCGAGACCATGGTGAAACCCCGTCTCTACTAAAAATAGAAAAAATTAGCCGGGCGCAGGGGCGGGCGCCTGTAGTCCCAGCTACTCGGGAGGCTGAGGCAGGAGAATGGCGTGAACCCGGGAGGCGGAGCTTGCAGTGAGCCGAGATTGCGCCACTGCACTCCAGCCTGGTCGACAGAGCGAGACTCCGTCTCAAAAAAAAAAAAAAAAAAAAAAGAAATGGCCTCTTGATGTGGGTCTTGAAAGAAGAGGGTCCGGGTTCAGGCAGCATCTGGTTCACTCCAGTTCCTGCCACTTGAACATGCTTCAGCTGGTGGCAGGTGTTTCCAAGATGAGTAGAAAGAGAATTCCAAAGTGGGTATAGCATTTGTAAAAATTGACTCCCTGTCATTGGATGGATGAAGAAAATTAGTCTTGCAATAACTGCCTTCCAACAAAAAACAAGTAAAAGGGTCAGGGGTGTATCTCAGAACCCTTACAGTTTCAATGTTATTTTATCATTCAGTGCATGCAATTCTCAAATGTCTTGAGAACCTTAGAAATAACTAGACATGGCAGGCTACCTTGTTACTATTGGAAACACGACATACTCTGTTTCGAGATTATTTGCTTACTTATTTTATGTAATAATAATAAAAACAAAACTTTTTATCAAAGGAAATAGCCTTGGGCATTCAAAAAACAGATTTTTCTGTAAAAGTGTTGAAAACCAAGGGAGATTGAAGGTATCTCTGTGGCCCAAACATACCTGCATCTACAAACTCCCTGTGAGCCTGTTCGGCTTTAGCAGGAATCACCACTGTGGGTATTCAACACAGACATTCGTTGGAAGCTGACTGTGCTAAAACCCTTTTGCTTCCAACTATATCAGATCCACTTTGCACAACTGTTGGAAACATGGATTTTTAAATTTAAAAAAAAGTCTGCATTTGTGGATGACAGCCAGTTGGCTGTTTTAAGTCACCCGTTAGGTATGAAAGCAAGAAATCCTAACACCACCCTTCAAGTAACAACTACAACAACACTAAAACCTTCTTACGACTACACAGTAACATCTAAAGTCAATACTGGCTTATTGGGTTTTGCTCTTCCAGTGCAGCTCATTTATTACACTCTGTTTATTGTAGTTGTTGTCTTTTGAATTCATAGGTTGCAGCTTATTTTTGTGTAGATGTTTATTACTTGTTCTCTCATGTAAAATACAAACAATGTTCCTGGTGTGTGGGTAGCTTTTCCCCATGCAATGACTGGAGATACGTGCTTCTTCGTCTTGTAACAGCTCATGATTTCCAAGGTGGCATGCTTGTCTGCTGTGACTATGCAATGACAATTTTCCCCATGCAATGACAATTCCCCATGCAATACGTGCTTCTTCGTCTTGTAACAGCTCATGACTTCCAAGGTGGCGTGCTTGTCTGCTGTAAGTCAGCAGATAAAGGAAGAACATGAAGTCTTGGCAAGAGAGGTCTCGTGGGTAGGTCTTTGAAGAACATAAAGAGTTGTGTATTACCTATGTTCACATCCATTGGCTTGAGCTCGGTCAATTATGTAGTCTGTTAGGTCCACAACTACGCCAAATGTCATGCTCAGGGTCAGGTTTAGCCCCAACTGAGGTCTGAAGGGGAGTGGGTGGATGGCAGATAGCTGAGAGAACACTCAGGGGGCTGTAGGCAGGTGAATATGGTTTTATTCACCAGCTTTCTTAGCAGCAGCTCGCCCATCAGCAGCTTTCTCTCACTGTCTGCTCTCTTGGCTGCTTGCTCCAGCTGCTCCCACACACAGCTGCACAACCGGCTCTTTCTTGCCTTCAGGGTCAGCAGCTTAACTCTTTTTCTCTCTCCGCACAAGCCAGTTCCTGGCTCCCCTCACCTGTCTTCAAGGCAACTTGATCACCCTTACATGGGTCAGTAGCGTTACTCTCTTTCTGGGCGCGGTACAGAGAGAGTCATCTGTCCAATGAGAGGAGTCAATTTTTATAAATGCTATACCCACTTTGGAATTCTCTTTCTACTGACCTCAGCAACATTTACCACCAGCCGAAGCATGTGCGTGGAGCAGGTACTGGAGTGAACCAGATGCGCCTGAACCCAGACCCTCTTCTTTCAAGACCCACAAGTGCAAGCCGAGCCCCTACAGTGTCAGCAAGGCAGTCACACCTTTTTCAGACGATAGTGGCTCAGAGGCAAGTATGGACTTACACAAACAGGTTATGTAACAAGTGGAGTACGTGCCTGCACCCTAAACTTGCTGAGTCACTCTGGCCTGGATGTTTGCCTCGGCCTATTCCTGACCAAAGCACCTCCATGTACCTACCTTACAGGTCACATCTCACCTCCAGGGACCCATAAAATGCCATGTTACTGTGTGCTCAGGAAGAAAATGGCCAGATCGGTGAACAGCTAGCCAGCCTGACACACCTAGTTTTAATTTGAACCTCATCCCTCATCCTCACAAACAGCATACTCTTGTGCAAAAGCCTCAGTCAGCTTTTGTTCTGGTTTCTTTAGTTGTATGTTCAGAAATGTGGGCTGAATGACACTTAGAGTCTCTTTCGCCCCTGAGGTCATCTGCTAAATCAACCAAGTGCAATAAATACCTACTGTAAGAGAATGTAGGGCTTAGTCCCTGACAGAAGTAGCTGTCACCAATTTGCATAACTTATTCTTGAGTAATTTTATTCTTGCAATTAAAAGAGAGAGCAAAAAGAGACCAAATTTAAATTTTACTGCAGGGATGCATGGAAAAGCCTCTGCAGGGCTGCAAGATTGCACGGAAAGCCTCCTATTTGGCTTGGCAAAGCAGGATAGATGTCTGAGAGGCCCACTGAAGTTTTAAAAGTATTCTACCGAAAAAAATATTTTTAAAATGTCCGACCTAGCTCATATATTTCTGGAATGTATTTGTAAACAGTGCTCTGTTTCTGTGAGAATTGTCTTGATTTTTCTGGAGCTTTTGCAAACAACACATATTTTCCCAGTAGAGAGTCTGCCTTTGATCTACAATGAGGCCCCACTGAATCACCAACTACTTTCCCACCTGGAACCAACCAAGGCTGTGTGCTTAGCTGGCAGAAAATAATAAGTCCACATTAGTTAGTGTATCTAGAAAGGGGAGGCTGGCAAAAATATGCACCGTCTGTAAAACTCTCGACAATCATTTATAGACTGCATTAATGAGTCAGGCATTACGAGGCACTTCCCAACCCCAGGCCAGGTTGTAAGGAACTTTTATCCTGATGTAACAGTTTGTGCTTGTGGATTCTCGGACTAAACAGTGTGCTGAACAACAAAGCAAATAGACACATACAAAATAGATTTGTTAAATAATATAAATACTAGCTTATAGTCATCAATTTATAAAAAGCACCCAACAAAACAAAACACTAGGATGACTTCAAAGGAATGATTCATAAAGCACAGACATATTAAAAATATGCTATAATTGGAAAAAAGCCTCTTTAGAACTGCTGGAGGTACATTTGTTCTTTATTTGTCTGTCAGTCAAAGAGAGGCCATGGATCCACAGAGAAGTTCGTTCAGCCTGCAGTGGGTCAATCAGTGCAGCCCACTCCGGAATCCACATGTCTGCCCTTATTTAGATATGAAGAGACTGAGCAGAACAGTTCAAGTGTGACTACAGAATCAGGGTCTAAGAAGTGGGTAAATCCAGTCATGTAGGTAGTAAACCCAATTCACTTTTAAGCTGGAAAGAAAAATAAGATACCGGAGAGAGCCGACATTGCTGTCTTTCTGTGACAGTGGGATTTTCGGGATTCTTGGAAGCATGCTGTGGTGGTGGGCATATATGACAAAGTCAAGTGACATGTTCTTAGGTCGTATTTACTTGATTTGGGTCACAAGAGCCATTGGCAAGATATTAATTTGAAACATTGACTAACGATTGCACCCCCAACCTTTTTACAAAAATAATGTCACATAGCTAACAAAAATGGATTCAACATAACATGATAAAATAACACTTAAAGTTGATAAATGAAGACAAATCTAGACCAGAAAAGGAGGAAAGAATACATACAATTATTTCTGCCCCAATTATCTCTTGTATAAGATTGTCCATTTTTTATTTTGGAAAATAAAGGCTGAAACTTCCAGACAGTGGAAATCATTTCTCTTTACAGTTATCCCATAGGATTTGCACAAGTGGCCTTTTCCTGTTTGTTTGTTTGTTTGTTTGTTTGTTTGTTCTTCCTTAAGCTGTTATCCTACACCAGTTGACTTCTCCCTCTCTGTGTTGGGGGGGTCCCAAGACCATCCTCAGCTTCTACGATCCACTGGAAAGACCTACAGGATTCAGAAAAGCTGTTATACTTACAGTTACAGTTTATTACAGCAAAGGAATAGGAATTATTCCAGCAGAGGAATAGAGCTTCCAGGCATCCTCTTACAGTGGAGTCCCACGGGCATGCTTAATTCTCCCAATATTGTGCAACAGCATATGTGAACTCTTACCAACCCCAGAAGCTTACCTGAGCCTGAGTGTCCAGGAACATCACCTGGCCTTGGAGTCCAGGAAGCCCACCTGGGCCTTGGCATCCAGGAAGCTCACCTGAGCATTGGTTTCCATACAGCTCACCTGAGTGTTGGTGTCTAGGAAGTTAACCTGAGCCTTTGTGTCCAGGGTTCTTATTGGGAGCCAGTCCTGCAGACCTGAAGCATTTATATGACTGGAGTCAGATACTCAGATTCCAGTTTTCCAGAGCAGAATTAGGCACTCAGCATAAATCACATTGCTAGCATTAACAACCTGTTCAACTGGTGCCATGCGACCCAAGGCCTCAGCCATACAAAAACATTCTTCCCAGGAAGAATATTCCAGAACTCAGAGTTTGCTTCCCAAGAACTAATGAAGGGTCAGTCCTGAAAATAGTCATTTCTGGGAATGTGCAGGGTTTGAGAAACTCAGGCCTCCTTCCTTCTCATCTCCCTTCTGTATTTCTCAAGGCACCTGGTCTCTTCTTTACTCCTCTCACAGTCTGCGAAACAGAAGTCATTCTCTTTGATCTGAATACCTCAAACAGTCCATATGTAAGATGTTTGTTAGTAGGAACGTTTTGGGAGCAGCAGCAATGTTCAATATCTAGGACAATACACGAAACTTCTTAAGAATGAGCACTAAACCTTGTTTCATTCAGAGATCTTCTGCCATTACCATACCAAGTGACTTCCATGGGACATTTACCCCTTCTCGGTTAGCTGGCCACTGCTGCTGGTCTTTTGTCACTCCTCATCCCAGCAGCCTCTGAGGAGCCTCCTCTAATTGGCCATGCCTCCGTTTTCCTGCCCCTCTTCATCCCCAGACTTCCTCCGGCACTCCCCATGCTCCGGACTGCAGAGCAGCTCGGCTTTCTCTTGACTTGTGTACTTTGTCCAGCTATGCCCTGAGGTTCTCTTCACATAGTTGGGACACTCATCAGGATTATTCTGATTCCAGGCTGACTACCACTGTCAGGTTTAAAATAACTGATGTTTACTATTATTATTATTTTATGGTGCTTGTATGGAACCCACCCTGAATACCTCTGACGCCAAGCAATCTTTCAGCACACCATGATCTGAGCTGCCACATTCAACAGGAAATCACAGTTCCAGGCTGACTTCAGCTACTGCCATTCTCAGACTCATGAGAAGCCTGGTTTCATCTCATGAAGTTTGCTGTTAGAGTTAGATTTTAGAGCTGCAGACCCTTTCCCTCATTCTTTTAGCAAGAGCTATCTTTTCAACTTCTTTCTATCAAGGAAGTATTAATAGTTAGGTGAGGTGCAGCGGCTCACACTTGTAATTCCATCACTTTGGGAGGCCGAGGCAGGAGGATTGCTTGAAGCTATGAGTTCAAGAGCAGCCTGGGCAACATAGCAAGATCCTGTCTCTACAAAAAAATAGAGCCAAGCATGGTGGCATGCACCTATATTCCCAGCTACTCAGGAGGCTGAGGTAGGAGGATCACTTGAGCTCAGGAGGTTGAGGCTGCAATTGCATCATTGCACTCCAGCTTGGGTGACAGAGCAAGACCCTGTCTCAAAAAAGAAAGTAGTTAAATCACAATTACTGGAGATAGAAAGAGGCTTTATTTCTTTATACCTTCTGTTTTACACCAATATTCCTATGCTTGCAATTTGGCTACACAACTCTCTGTACCTTTCCATTTATAAGCATCATGCACTAGGTGGGAGAATACCCCCGAGAGCATAGAAATTGCAAATGGATGCTTCGAGGCTCAGCAGTGCCATAGACTGGAGGTGGAGGATGACTCATCTCCTCCGAAGGGAAAGGGAGCACCTTTGCCGTGGTGCCACCACTGCAGAGCACAATATGTCTGGGCATGACTTACTTTGTATTCCAAAGTGTCATGAAAAGATCATGTTGACGTTCTTAGTTCTTTGAATTTGTCTAATTCCTATTGCAAGCTTGGCTTTAGACCTGGTATATGTTCTCACCATTCCAACCCAGAAGAGGCTGTGGACTGGAGGACTGATCACACTCCAGCAATGCTTCTGAAAGGAGAGGTGCCTGAATGTGGTTAAGGCAGTGGCAAGAAGGTGGTGCCCAGCATTGCTTTTCTAAATGGCTTATATGGATTTACACTTCTCCACCTCAACCCTCCTCAGACTCATCCCACATTGTTTAATGTGTGATTTTTTTTTTTCAAATATGTCCTCTGTTTCTACCTCTATGATTACAATTTCTCTGTCATCCTGGTCTTCATCACCTTGGTGAGAAGATACATAACAGGGTGGGTGTTTTCAATCACCAATATGTGGCCCGGCAATCAGGTTATGGGTAAAAAAGGCCTTTTAATTCTTATTAATTTGCAACTACTGTAGGATATTCTCTGCTCCTGGAGTTGGACATCAGGGTGGGAAGTTGTGGTCACCATGAGGGTTTTAGTGATGTTGAGGTTCCCCACGCACCATGTATTAGTCAGGGTTCCCCAGAGGAATTGTGTCATTTAATTAAAGATGTTGAGAAGTAACAAGATCTGTATCCAGCAAACTGCAGACCCAGAAGGGCTGATGGTGTAAGTTTCAGTCCAGGTCTGAGTCCAAAGGCAGTAAAGGACCAATGTCCCAGCTCAAAGACATTCAGGCAGGAAAACAGTAAATTCTTTCTTACTCAGCCCTTTTGTTCCATTCAGTCCCTCCATGGATTGGATGAGGCCCACCCGTGCTGGGGAGCGCAGTCTGCTCTGTTCACTGCAACAATTCAAATATTAACTTCATCCAGAAACACCCTCACGGACCTACCCACAGTAATGTTTAATCTCATGGCCCAGCCAAGTTGTCACATAAAATTAACCATCACATGCTGCATTTCTCATGGCCCCTCGGCCACCTCCTCTGTGGGCTTCTAGGGAGACTAATTCTCATTTTGGCTGCAAAAGGAATCACAGGTGACTGAGGATAAGTCCTCTGGGTTTGGGACACTCTAAGTAGTATTGAAACATCTGCAGAAGAAATTGAAACAGGATAGGTCTATATGGCAGATCTTTGTCTTTCACTGCATAGTTTTTAGTCATGTGCTAGGAAGGAAAATGCTACTTAGAGAATATAATCAGTAAAATGGAGAGAGTATTTTATTCAGATTCTGCCTGAGTTACTAGAATAGGACAGATATTTCAAAAGGAGAAAAGTAGACCAGAAATAACAGCTTCATTGTTTTTACAGAATCACATAATGCCTTTGTTTTCAAGGCTCACTCTGTTGTCCCATCATTTTTTCCCTAGAGCCTTAGAATGTGTTAGGGAAATAAAAATAAATGTGATTATGTCTGTATAATGGATGAGAACACTGGAACATAGAATAGTTAATTTAACAGTCCTTCATCAGCCGTGAGAATGAGAATTCAGGCCATATTTACTCACTCCTGGATCTCAAGAGTTATCCCTTAATAATAAAACAATTTGCTATCCCCTAGACAATAGGCATTGCACCAGATGTGGGTTGAAGAATGATTCTATTCAGCTCAGCAAGAAACCCAGGGAAGAAAATGAATGCGAAAAACTACCATGTGATATGTGCTGTAATATCAATATATGATGTATATATTATATGTATATGTATACATTATGTATTTGCTTACTATTTATACAAAAATGTATTGAGTACCTACAATATGCTAGATGTGCTACTGGATGTGAAAAATAGAGTGCAGAATATAAAATATGTGCGGTTTGTCTTCCTGAAACTTGCATTCTGGTGGAAAAGACACGTTGAAACACAGATATTCAATGACAGTATCACAAATGTGGTGGACAAGCAGCACAGGGCACTGTGAGAGCATTTGCAGGAGATCCCCCAGCTGGGGGAACACGAGGGATTTTGCTATTGTTGATGCTGGAACCACAGCATTAGTGTTCGTACTACTTTCTTCTTGGCTCCAGTAACCTTTTCTGAAAGAAGCTGAAGTACAGATCGTGAACTGGCAAGCAACTTAAATGCAACTGGAAGCAGCTTAATTCAAGGTCAACGCAGAACACATGCGAGTGAAACACTGTAAGAAAAATAGAAATGGTGGAATCTGTTTTTCATATATGCAAAAGATAGGACCAAGTCCAACAGCTTCAATATTCCTTCAAGGCCAGAAAATAACATCTTACAAATTGTAGTTCTGGGTAGGAAAGAACTAAGCACGGCACTGAGGGGTGACAATGTCTTTCAGGAGTTTATGGTCTCGGGGTATCCTCTAGTAAAAACTGTCAGTCACCAACTGCTTTGAACCAGGATGGTTATTTTGGACCAGATTGTGAAGGTGGGCTGTGCATGTTCTGAGTCTTTCCAGCACTGACTTTTCATTCACTCGCAGCATGTCTATTTCTCAAACTCTCAGGCATGTGGAAGGGAGTGCATGAGTCTCTTTGAGTAGTCTTTAGTGTTATATTACAAAGTAATCCTAATAAACTCTTGGTGGAAGGAAGATTGTGTCTTGAAACCTGTATGGATAAACTCTCCAGCACATACAGCAGCCATCAGCTAAAGTGGCCATGTGTGACTTGGTGTATGTTTTAAATGCCTGTTAAAACTGCTAAATGTTTAAATAGACATGTCTGCCTTTACTTGTCCTTTTTGTCTGCAGACATGCCAAGTTACCATAGGAAACTTCTGCGTGAGTCTGAACACAGGCACGGCAGAGGTGAGCACACGAGAAGGCTGCATCTCTGGTGTCCTGACTCATCGTCTCACCGTTCTTGAGCCAATGTGCGCCTGACTGGAGTCCTCTCTCTGGTTGCACTGCCCTGCTGTGGACTCATTAATTTCACACATTTGGAAGCAATGTTAGTTATAGCTAGTTGTTAATCAATGACTTGAAAATGAGGGATAAATAAAATACTCTATTTGAAGATTAGCAGATTTTGATGATAATTTAGATAACCTCAAAAAAAACTTCATTGGAAATTAGCATACATACAATAAAACACTTAACTTGTTCAGCAGACTCTTAATAACACAGATAACCTTGCAAATCACCTGAAGCTGTTTGTACTAGAGGATCCCCCGAGACCGTAAACTGCTGAAGGACATCGTCACCTCTCCAGTGCTGTGCTTAGTTCTTTCCTACCCAGAACTGTGATTTGTAAGACATTATTTTCTGGCCTTGAAGGAATATTGAAACTGTTGGACTTGGTCCTGTCTTTGGTGTATAAAAACCAGACTCCACCATTTCTATTTTTCTTAGTGCTTCACAGGCATGTGTCCTGTGTTGATCTTGAATTAAGCTGCTTCCAGCAAAATTGTTGAGTCTCTAGGGAGTGTGACCTAGATCGGTGGTTTCCGAACTTTAGCATAGAGTAGAACCATCTGGAAGGATTCTTAACACAAGATTGCTGTGTTCCGTTCCTAGAGTTTCTGACTCAGGGATCCCGGGGTGTCCTCCAGTTTTCAGGTGGTGCTGATGCCACTGGTCTGGGATTACACATGGAAGAGCAAACCGCCCCCCCACCACCCCCCACACACACTGGGTTTGGATAGCATCAGCAGCAAGGCCTGGTGAGGACTGTCCACACCACCATCCAGCAGCTGCTACAGCATGGTACCATGCTGATTCTCTCCAACAGAATTTCCTCATAGCTCAACCTTAACACATAGCATAGGTGTAGAGGAGCACCAAAGCATCAAAAAAAAAAAAAAAAAGGCCAATTCTTTTTTATGTAATTAAATTTCAAATTTTGAAGTGACATAAAATACCTGCCTTGGGTTTAGCTTTATTTGGGTTCAATTAAATTACATGGATATAATAGAAGCAAAAGTATCATTCACTTATAGGCACCAATACTTCTCGTAACCAAATAAGTCTTACACTAGAATTGCTGACTTTAAATTGACTTATAT